CTTCAAGAGAAGGCTCATGTATAGAAATACCCCATGCTTTCTGTGCAATAACTTGAGGCGTGACTCTAGATAAAGGGCATCCCATAGCTCAGACTGTTGAATTCTATGACTGCCATCCTTCTATATTTGTTTCAGTTTTCTATCCTACTTGCCTACACACCTTCAAGAAAGAGCATAGTTCTAGATAGGTGATTCCCCAATCTGAGATGAAGACTTGCAACCAAACCTGAACAAAAGATTCTGACATGGATTCTGCCTTAAAATCTCCAAGGGAAAATGATCTTTCCAACAAAATATAGTAAAAAAGGAAAGTACCCATTCTGAATGAGATTTAAGCATCCTCCCTAGGGTCCTCTTTGTTGTTTAGCTTCTTTAGGTCTTTGGCTTTTAGAATGGTTATCCTATATTATATGGCTAATATCCACTCATAAGTGAGTGTATACCATGCCTGTCTTTCTGTTTCTGGGTTACCTCACTCAGGATGATCTTTTCTAGTTCCATCCATTTGCCTGGAGATTTCATGATTTTCTTGTTTTTAATAGTTGAGTAGTATTCCATTGTGTAAATGTACCATAATTTCTATATCCATCTGTTGAAGGACATCTAGGTTGTTTCTAGATTCTGGCTATTACAGAATAGCAAACAGGTAAGACATCAGAAGCAGTGAAAGAGAGGGAAGAGGATGGGGGCCTACTATAGAGGGTCCTCTGAAAGGCTCCCCCAAACAGGGGATTGAAGCAGGTTCAGATACTCATAGCCAAACTTTGGATAGAGCACAGGGAGTCTTCTGGGTAAGGGATGGATAGAAGGACACGGAACGGACAGGGACCACCCAAGGAGACCAACAAAGCTAAAATCCCTGAGCCCAAGGGGTCCTGCAGAGACTGAGGCACCAACTAAGGACTATGCCTGGAGAGGACCTAGACCACCCACTCAGATGTAACTGATTGGCAGCTCAGTCTCCATGTGGGTCCTGAGTAAGGGGAGCAGGGGCTGTCTCTGTGATGAACTCTGTTGCCTGCTCTTTGATTACTTGCCCGTGGCGATTCGGCCTTGCCAGGACACAAAGAAAAAGGATCCTGGCAGTCCTGATGAGAGTTGATAAACTATTGGTAGAGGGCAGAGGATAACTCTCCTTTTCAGTAGACTAGGGGAAAGGGATGGGGTGGGGGAAGAAGAACAGAGGGTGGAACTGGGAAAAGTTGAGGGAGGGGCTTCAATCAGGATATCTAATGAATAAATTATAAAAAATAATAAAAAATTTAAAAAATGAAAAGGAAAGTAACCCTCTATTAAATACATTTGAATACGGCTGTGTAAGATGATATTGATAATAATTGGAGAAGCCTCCACTGTGAGAGTATTTTCCAAGACCAAACAACATACCAAAGCTGAAATGGGAAGGCAACAGAAGGCTGGCTAGCATTTACTGTGCTATCTGTTAAGCCTGCTCTAGATACAGCCACCTTGAACTTTCTTGAGCTGTCTTCCAATAAAGATTTATTTAAGCCACTGTTTCTCAAATTTTCATGTGTGGAAAAATACATCCCTTGTGTTCCAATCCAAGAAAAGCCACTGTTATAGTTAAGTCCATCTTCTCCCCTTTCTCTCTCCAGTCTCATAGTTGGTTCTGGTATCTCTGCTGCTACAGGGAGAGACAGATACTGTGTCAAGGGCCAGTCTCTGAGTATGTAAATAGATGTCTCAGGTGTCCAGATTCCAGAAGAATGACAGGAACCAAGAAAGCTGATATGCCTCAGATTTTTAGACTTCTCAGGATAGCAGAGGGCCATGATGTTCCTGAATCCTTATAGTCAAATATTCCCTTCTTGTGATTCTTTTGCCTCCTCATGCTTCCCAAGAATTTGTGATAGTTTTGCCGCATTCTAATGTTGTGAAATCTTATGCTTTCTCTGTTACCTTTGGAAAAAAGATCCCCCACTCTGTCTTGTGACTGGAACTCTCAACACAGCCCCTGTGATGTTGCTCTCTTTCTGTTTGTTTGCCCATGGCATAAGTAATTCTTTCAACAAATGTCTTACCAAAAAGGACAATCATCATTAGTGCCCTCCTTGATTTTTCAAATTGATATCTTTTACCTTAGTGATCTTGTAGACAATTCTGATTCTGGTTCCTACATGGTAGTGCCTGAGATTTGACAAATGAAACAACTTTTGAGCATGCAGCCAAGCATCTGCTTATCCACAGAGATTTAAGCCACGCTGAATTTTATATCTTGAGAATACCAAACAATAGCTCCTCATGAAGAAATACTTATTCCAGTCTAACCCAACCTAAGAAAGAATGCTGTGAATTCAGAACAAGCTGAAAACTGTGACCAGAGACCCAATGGCATCACAATTGACCTTGTTTGTCCTGTATTTGATATACTGTGTGACACCACTGAGGAATTATTTATTTTCTTAAGTTTGATTCATTTTTATCAGAGGGCAACATGTCTAAGCTTATGTAGCAAACAGCATACAAGAAAGAAGGTGAGTTTCCTTGCTTCAGAGATACAGGCAGGAAAGAACTCCACATTTTAACACTAAACTTAGGTCAAATGAGTTAACTAAAAGTATGCTAATGTAACCAGGCTAATAGAAAATGAAGATATTCTCAAGAGAAACTAGTGTCCCTCAATCTGCTCAGACTCTTAAAAGAGTGGACAAGAGAAACTGCAATTGCCCGGGATCTCATGCTGGAGAATAAAAAGGCTGAAGCCCAGAAACAACCAAAGAAGGGACTTTTTTTTTTTCCAGAAGATGATGTCACACAAGGCTAATTACCTGTCGGGGCACCTTGCAGGATGAGTCTGAAGCCCAGACAATGATGGGTCAAATGTGTATGGGACCAACACCTTGACTGGGACCACTTTCATCGTTGATTTTCCTTGACCCTCTGTTTATACTTTAATTTCATTTCAAGACACTAGAAAATGTCACTCTACTGCTTTCTGTTTCTTTCCAGTGCAACCTCACTAAGTAGGTCTCTGTTTGCTGCACTTTCCTCCTGTTAACTTGGATTCTTGAGGATGGGTAACCAAATCTGAAATTATGCGATAGATACAGACAGCAACCTCAAGGGCAATAACACTAAGTCTGACAAAACTGGGCAGGATGATTAATCAACACAGACATCCCTAGAGACTGATTGGCTATGTCAGTGGTCCTCTATCAGCTCATGAGAAGGCCATTGGTATTCTAAAAGAAAAAATAATCAAAACTGAACATTAATACATACCTTTAGAACCTGTTGTTCTTGTCTTTGAGACATTTTTTTTATTTGTGTGTGTGTGTTTAGTATGTCTATGTTTGTGTGTGGAAGTGAGTGGAGGGTAAAAGACCACACTAGATTGGTCCTTGAGTTCCACTGGGTTTCAGATAGAGTGTTTTGCCGTTCTACATTGCACACTAACCAGGCCAGAACTTCTGTTTCTCCAGTCTCCAGTGCCTATATCTCCATAGAAGCACTGGGATTACAGACATGTGCTCCTGTATCTAACTTTATGTATGTTTCAGGGAGGTCTTCCCATGTCTGTGGAAAGTGCATTACCGACCGAGTCATGAGAAGTGTCATATGATTTTAATTAAACAATTTCTCTTCTAACAATTGCTGCAGTTTTACAAACTGAATTCAATTGTGGTTAACAGATCTGATCAGTCTGATCCGTGGTGACCTAAATCGTGTTCCTTCAGTGGTGGACCGTGGAAGGCCGTGCCAGTTTGCACACACCCGCTCTGATTCCAAACATCAAAGTCTGTTTTCTGGATATTTATCATAAGAACGGTGTAAGGTTTTCCTGTTTACCAGCCCAAGATTTTACCAACAAAAATACCCTGGCCTGACTCTGGAATAAAATTGGAAGGGTAGTTACTGACATCTTCCCAGGAATAGAGTCATGGCCATTTGAGCATGAGTTCATGAGGAAAGATAAATTTACTTATCCTCAGTTTAAAAGAGTCCTCTCCCCACTATGTGTTCATGTGTGTGGAAGCCAGAAATCAGGGCCCGGTGTTTTCCTCTGGTCTCTCTCTGACTTGCTTCTTCACGAAGGCTCCTTATTTTCACCTAGTGTTCACACATTCAACCTGGCTGGATGGGCAGCAAGCAGCAAACACACACCTGTCTCCTCCTCCCCAGCCCTGAGATGACAAATGTAGACCAGCCAGCTCAGCTCTGTTTGTGGATGATGAAGCTCCATCACCGATTCTTAAGCTTTCTAGGTAAGTACTTTTTGGTTCATTGAGCCATTTTCTTATTCATTCAGCACTCACCAAGCAGGTCAATATTACAATATACGTGTCTTCTTGACATTAGGAAATTCACTCAGCAAACTTCAAACATACCTCAGCAGTAGCCTGAGCTAGCCTTTAACTTGTGAAATTAAAATTAATAAGTTATTCTCAAAAATACCTCACACTGTAAATTCAAATACAACATTGTGACTCAGATGGGATGAACACTTTTCTTATTTCTGTAGCAACACAAAGCACAGCATCCATGAGCGCAGGCTTCTCACTTGACTGGAGCTGTGATTGAACCTATTTACTTCTTAGACACATAAGTGTGGATGAGTTACAAAGTTCATGAAACTTATTTTCTTTACGGATTGTGTGGGAAAACGGATGTCTCCAGCCATGTTGAGATTGTTTGATAAAGTGTATAGAACACTTAGTATATGCTTGGCACTTTATGCAAATTTTAAATAGAATAAGTTCATTCAAATCTGGAGAGAAAAGATAGTTTCCCGTTGAACATAGTGGCATACGTGGGGTGCAGGCAGAGGCAGGTGAATACCTGTGACTTTGAGGCCAGCCTGGCCTATGTTAGTTTGAAGCCAGCTAGAGCTACTGAGTGAGGAGATCCTGTCTCAAAACATCAGAACACCAAACCAGGTCAACATAACAGCATGACATATAATAACATAACATAACATATATTTTTTTTTAAAGGAAAGGAAAGGAAAGGAGAAAGAAACTACAGTTTTATTTTCATGTTATCTTATTTCTTTTTTTACATTTATTTATTACAATTTATTCACTTTGTATCCCAGCTGTAGTCCCCTCCTTGTTCCCTCCCTATCCTACCAACCTCCCTTCCTCTCCTCCCATACTCCTCCCCCAGTCCACTGATAAGGGAGGTCCTCTCCCTTTCCATCTGACTCTAGCCTATCAGGCCGCATCAGGACTGACTTCATTGTCTTCCTCTGTGGCCTGGTAAGACTGTACCCCCTTCAGCAGGAAGTGATCAAAGAGCCAGCCACTGAGTTCATGTCAAAGTCAGGCCCTGTTCCTCTTACTAGGGCACCCACTTGGAGACTGAGCTGCCATGGGCTACATCTGGACAGGGGTTCTAGGTTATCTCCATGCATGGTCCATGGTTGGAATATCAGTCTCAGAAAAGACCCCTGTGCACAGATTTTTTGCTTCTGTTGCTCTCTGTGTGGAGCTCCAGTCCCCTCCAGGTCTTTTTGTCTCTCCCATAATATGCACAGTAATGAGCTGTTATGGAATGCAAAGTTTCCCTGCTAAAAGCAGGTCTTAACAGCTGGTACATGTGTGGTTAATTTTTTAAAGCACTCCTACATGAGAGTGAAGGCTGAGAAGAGTGTGGGGGGCAGAGAAAGCAGAAAAATGTGCAGCTGTGGGCAATGGGGGCCCAGCAAGGCTACCCAGGACCGCAAATCATGTATGCAGGAGGGACAATAGTTACCTGCTGCTGTCTTCTAGTAAGTGGGTATCAGCGGGGAGTTAGACCTGCATGTAGGTTGGTACTGTGCCAGTGATGAGTATAGAATCTAGCAGTCATCAGTTCTGCTGGAGAATTCCCAAACCATAATGTAGAGGTCAGTCATCACAACTAAAAGGTCAGTTCACACTTAGGAAATGCTGGTTGCTGCAAAGAGGCAAAGGTTGTCAAGTGGCAAGGAGAGAGACAGAGAAGAGCTCATACATGATCATAAAATAGAAGCCATGTGCCTTAAGGACCCAAGAGACATGGCAGGAACTCATTTATAGATAATTTAAAATATTTTTGTTTTTATGTGTGTGTTCACTTGCTTTGTCTTAGGTGGCAATGTACATGGCGGTTCTTGCAAAGGCAAGAAGAAAGTGTCAAGTGAGCTGGAACTGGCATTACATGCTGGTATTACACTGTATCTGGAGGAGCAAGTGCTCTTAACCCCTGAAGCATTTCTCTAGTCGTGTATCCCCAATTTTAAAGCCATTATCTGGTGGAAAATGGCTCGAGTGATTCTCTACCTGTTAGAGACCAACGCCTAAGTCTCACCTGAAGGGTGATGGCTTGACTAATTCTCCACAAGGTAATCAGCCAATGCTTAAGTCTCCTCATTCTTGTAACCCTATAAACATGATCTTTAGTAGGAGTGTCTATGCTGAGCTGAAGTATTCACACAGGAACTTGAATACCACGTTTTGAACAGTATCCCATCTTTTCACACTTTAGAGAACAACAGAGCAACACAGACTCCTTGTTGTGTTTTGAATGTGAAATGTTCCCTGTTGGCTCACATATTTGAATGCTTACTTGGTCTCAGCTGGCAGCACTGTTTGGGGGGAAAAGAATGTGGTTGTGGAACTTTACGAGGTGAGACCTTGCTTGAGGAAGTACACCACTGGGAACAGATTTGAGGGTTTGTAGGCTGATCCCACTTCTTACTCTCTTTCTGCTTCCGGACAGCCAGCCAGGACCCCATACTCCTGCAGCTATACCTTCCCTGCCATGTGGAAGGGTAAGCCGAAACTTCTTTCCTAAGTTGTTTTTGGTTGTGGTGATTCATCACAGCAACAGCAAGCATGAGTACACTCCTCCTTGATCTCTGTTTGCTGAATAAATAGTTCTCTTAGAGGAAGTGGGGAAAATGGACTTGCTTTCAGAGATCTTTAAAAAAGGTTATGTATTTGTTTCTGAGTTAATACTCTTGATGGTTCTCACTATAGAGTTGTTAGTTTCTCCTGGGGATTTACTTGAATATTAAGGGAAATCACTACGTAGGAAGGTTGCCTTTAAAGTTTCAGGAAACTCTTCAGAATTTGTAAAAATGCATAAAAATCACTGGAATGCAACTGAGACAAAAGTGTAACAGGTCTTATCTGGTTCCACAGTCCCAGAACATAAAGTACAAGGAAACGCTCCTGAGTGTTTCCTTTGTGTGGCACAACCCACTCATGAGAGCCCCGCAAATCACAGAGAGAACAAGTTTCCATCTTCCTATTAAACATCATGTTTTCATGTGAGATCCACCAGTACTGTGAGGTGAAAGTGGTTCCAGACAAGCAACTTTCACATTACAAACTGTATTAAATTAATCAAAAAATAGATAAACATTGATAATGACCATAAACAAGAAAATGATAAACAGTAAAAGGTAAACACTTTTAAAATGTTACTCAAATAGACATTCAATAAAACCACATCTTTCAGACAACATAATTAATTATTCGCATCATAAAAATCTTTAGTGGTTGAAATCCAAAATATTGATTAAAAAGCTTCAGTTGAACTTCAGATCAGCCTAAAAAGAAACCCCCATCTTAATAAAATAGGCAAAACTTTTCTTGAAAACATCACAACCTATTTTGTTTAAAAAAAAAAATGTGTTCACTATCTTTGAAAAAACCTAAAATGGGTCTTCTGGATGGGGTATCTTTCTCATATTAAATTGAATCTAATGGAGCAGAGAAGACACAGTTCCAAAGCACTGAAGAGAAAAGAGGGAGAACCAGCCTTAGAGTCAGTCCCAGGACCACTTCTCAGACTCCTGGGCTGCTCAGGTGATGAAGCAGAGAGTGGCTGGACAAATTATTTACTTTTAAATTTTCCTTCCTACAATGTCCTTCAGAGGACATTGTAACCCAGTTTCCCCTAAGGACAGATTTTTAGCTGTGAAAACACATTATACTACCTTGATTTTTCTGGGCATCAGAGTTTGGTTTCAGACTTTGAAACGTCTTCTGAGAGATGCCTAGTGTGGCCTGAGAACGCACTCCAGCTTCCTGACTACACTGCCTGCCCTCTCACGGCTGAAACTCCTCACAGATAAGATCAGTTTTCATTCTCAGTTACTGACTGCTGCAAGTTGACACACTGGAGGATTTGGTACCTTTTGTGCCTTCCATTTAAATGAAACACCATATACTGCTGTTTGTGAATTTGGGGGGAAAGGGCAAAAAATACAAAAAGATTTTGCTTCTAATTCTTACCACAAGGGCTTAATTAAACATCAACAGATGAACTGAGCAGGCATGGAATGCTAAGTAGACTCTGAAAAAATGAAATAATTCAGATTTTTGTTCTTATAATGAGAATGAGAATTGACTTTACTGCACTGGGAGTTGAAAGTAAAAGGTCTGAGTTTTTAAAAAAGCTTTCTCCACCAAGAGAGCAAAATGCCACTCAGTGGCATTGCATTTGTCTAACAAAATTTCTTTATCAGAAACTATAATTTAATATTTAAGTATCTAATTTACATGTGACAAGATATATTCAAAAAAGTAAACTGCAACTAGAAAACTATTAACCACTAAAAACAATACCAAACACAACCCAAACATTTATAGGAAAGCAATTTCTAGACTCTGAACTGGAAACAAAAGGGTCTCATCATATTTGGCTCATTAAAGAAGTGTCCATTGTAGCCTGTAAAAGAGTATCCACTGTAATTCATTAAAGTTTACCCTTTGTAGCATGAGTAACATATAAGATAGACTCACCGTCTGCATATGCACACGTGCCTGTATATTTATATATATGTATAATATCGTGAGACATACACTCGCGTGTGTGGATATAAAGGTATTCTATCTACTGACAACTGCCTGAACTTTGGAAGGTGCTGAAATCCACATTTCTACATAGCCTTGACTCATTTAATAATGCCTTTTTTAAAAACAGAACTTTATGTAAAATACTCTGCTTTTGTTTATTAACTGAATATTTTCTTAAGCATAATAATAGACAATGAGAGAATTGCACTTATTATAAAGATACATTGACACGTTAGATTGCAGCTCAGCCATCAAAGATCAGGGACTGTGGTACTGATGGTACGTTATGTACTTTATGCAAAGGTGATAATGGCCATTGAAATCAAAAGTGAGGGTAACTAGTCACAGAACAAAAGGGGAAAACGGAAGGAAACATGCACTATTCCTACTTTAATGTGAAACTAATTTTTTTTCCCAGGAAACCAACCCTTGAACTTCCCTTTACAATGAAACACCTTCTGCACCCTTGGCAGCACAGCAGCAAGGACGTCTGTCTTCAAGTTCTAGTTCACTGTCTGAGTGTGCTGTTCCAGTTTCATCTCCTCAAGCTGCCCTTGGAATTCTGGAGCATCTACAACATGACAGTCTCTTGGTTCGGTTTCATTGAGCCTCAATATTCCCTCAGCTCTGTATAAGTAGTGTCCATTATTCTTCATCTTCCTCTGGTTCCTGTGGCAGCACAGTCACTACTTCCTTTAGACATTCACTGAAGAATCTGAGTATTGTGCTGTAGAAATGATGTTTGCTCTTGTCAGAAACATGATATCCTTCATCTGGATAGACCTATGGCATTGAAGAAAAAGGTAAAATTAAGTTACTGTTGGGCTGAACTAGAGTTGACTCAGACTATCCTACCTACAGCTGCCTTTTTCTCTCTCTACCCTCACAGCTGCTGTTAGAAAAAAAAATGGTAGGGAACCTCCTGTGATTACCTGCAAGTCTCTAATACTTGCTTCCCAGAGGAAAGGTCTCTAAACAACCAGGAACTAAATCTTGTATGATGAAAACATGTTAGCTGAAAGGCTGAATCTTTCCCATTTCTCTTTCAGCATGAAAATCAGAGAGCACCTGATTTCAAGCAACTACAATGGGATACTCATCAGCCATACTTAGCATGGGGCCTCACTCCTTTCTCTGAAACCTGTAAGAGAGATTTTTGCTTAGACTCAAGAATCTAACTCCCCATCAAATCCCTTGTGTGGTGGTTTTAATGAGAATGCTTATCATAGACTCATTTATTTGCATGCTTACTCACAGGTGAGTGGTACTATTTGAAAAGATTGAAGGAAGGCATAGGAGGCGTGGCCTTGTTGGACTAGGTGTGACTTTGTTGAAGAAAGTGTGTCACTGGGGTGTGGTTTGAGGTGTCAAAGTCCATGCCAGGCATAGCCAGTCTTGTGTGTCTGTTACCTGCCACCCTCTACCAATGGAGGGTTAAGCATCCTAGCATTTAGCATCGGGGAGAACAGTTGGAATTTTCCAATCTTGTTGCAGCCTACCTTTCAGGTGTTTCCACTAATGTATTTTAAAATTCCTTGATTTGTAGCTTTCTTTGTCCTGCTCCTATAAAACTCCATGACTGGTTCCACATTGGTGACCACGGAAGCAGGGTAAACCTAAATGTCCCCGGGGCCATGGTCACTCATATCTTGGCTCCAGAGTAAGGAAGCTCTTATTCCCTGTAAGTTAAGAGCTTTTTCTCTATTAGCAGTGGAGAAATCTCTGCCATCTGCCTCAGATGGTACCAGATTGCATTCTTAGACTTTCCATTGGGGTAGACAATGCTGTACAAAGATTTACCAGTGCTCACAAATATATTAGCTCATACACAGAGGAGGAAATTGCTATTAAGAGGGCTAAGGTAACCCTATATAACTTGGTGTAGAATTTCTAACCACTTCAAACATTCAAACTTCTCCACAGTCACTGAGTTATAATTCATCCATCAGTCTTACTGAAGGTTTAGTGGAAGATGCTGTTCCTTTTGAGAACTTTTGTTCACCAAGACACACACAAAAAAAAATCATTTAAATTAGGGCCTGTTGCCAAAAATAGCAGACTCTTCCATGCTCATATCTCTTTACTGAAAGTATTTACTTGGGAAAATGTGCAATTATGTACCTTTTCTTATACATCATAAAAGTACCCACAAATATTCTGGTTATTATTACAACCAAGGGAAAATGCTTCTTTAAGATGGGTCTAAGGAGTTGAAATGCAAGGAGAAAAGGAGGTACTATTTCCTGTCTCTGAGGAAAGTTAGGGCACTATCACTTGCCTTGAGGGTATGTGAGGAAACAGAAAGATTCTAGCTATAGAAGGCATAGAGGTATAAAATGTCAACTATTAAAGAGCTTTTCTTTAAAAGAGAGGCCTGGGGTATTTTGACTTCATACAGGGCCTGTGGGTACTTTTTCCCTGAGATGCTTTCTCCCAAAATCGCTCATCAACAGACAAGTGCAGCTGTGGTCTAAACAGGCCTAGCTACAGCTCACAGCAGCTGAAATCGTGGGGCTGGCCATGTATTTCTAGTTTTGATCCTGTGGAGAGCTATGGAGTCCTGAAGACTTCAACCCAGATTTCAAAGCACAGCATGACAGGTCAGTTTGTGTGTGTCCAAGTTAATTCCCATAACCAACTCAGAGGTTAATGGCCAAAACTGAGAAAAATGAAGCCAATGAGAATCCAGATATTAGTCTAGAGATACAAGAAATGCAGATTGCTGGCTGAGGCACTGAGCAGAGCCATCCTGAGAAAGCAGACACATGAACTCTATCCATCAGGGATATGGGGACATGTCTGATCAAGCCCTTTGAATTCATGTCATGTTATTATATCATCTAGATGATGAACACAAAACTGTAATATTTGATCTTCTGTTGTCATCGAACTTCCACTATGTCCTGTGGAACATGTACCCACCTGTGAATGTGTACACGTACACACAGCCACAAACACACGTACACAAACACACACATAAACACAGACATACACATATACACATATATAAACACACACACATTTTTAAAAGAACTGTTTTACTTTCCCATGAGCTCTTGCAATGTGGCGCTTCATTGCCACAGACCCAAAGCCACAGGTCTTACTAAGACCTCCAGAATCTTGAGCCAAAGTCATTGTCTCATGGATTTCCAGTTGCTTATCACCAGGATTTGATAGGAGTTTATAAAGCTGAGGATCCAAATATGTATTTTGAATGGTGGCTTACCTGAAGAGTGTAATTCACCCCAGCTTTTATCAGATGCTTGATCAACTCTGCTGAATGTTGGAAATGAACCTTTGCTGCAAAATATTAAATGATAATATTTGAAAGAAATGAATCTATTAGCATCAAAAACTTTTAATATATTTTTTCAAAGAACATAAGTGTCCTACATATACTGTGTACTCGGAAGACCTGCCACTAATTTCAACTAGAAAGCTGTTATGTAGAATAGTAAGAGCCATTACTAACGTAAATTTAATTATCCAGTGGCATTCTGTGCATGTGCGTATGTTTGTGTGTGTGCCACTGTGTGCAGATGTGCATATGTGTGTTTATGAGTGTGTGTGGAAGTCAAAGGCCCACTTCAGATGTACCCAGGTGCTTCCCACTCCTTATCTGAGACATGGTTTCTCATTGGCCTGGGACTTTGACAAATGAGCTGAAAGAGCTGGACAGCAAGTTTCATTTTTTTTTTCCACTTGAATCTGTCTAGCATCTTACTAACTAACACTGATTACAAACGTACATCACCATGCTTGCACTTTATATTTTACTTAGATTCTGGGGATCCAAACCCTGATCCTCACAGTGGTGAGACACCTCCTCAACTCTGACATCATTTAGATATATATTTGTGTGAGATAATTTATTTTGTAATTAGTTATATATTTTGTTCTTGATAAACATTGAAGGCAATGAATTTCTTGCTTGCCATTAATGCAGTGGATTATCTGCATATACATATTTAAGGAATTTAGACTTTAGACACAGCTTGACATTACTACTCTGCATTATTATTTTAAATTAGAAGTGGGCAACTGTGAGATGATGCAGCAGAAAAGGGTGCTTGGCAGGAAGCCTGATGACCTGAATACATTACTGGGACTCATATATGGTGGACAGAGAGAACAGACTTCCAAAAGTTGTCCTCTGACCCTCAAACATATACTTTCATAAGTATATGCACACATACATACACATACTAAATAAATATGTAAAAAATGTACTTAAAATTTTATATTAGAACTGAATTTCCATGTTGAGAAGAGAGAGTGAAGTGCTCATTATTCAATGCTAAATATTTGTTGTAGAGCATGCTGCTTTCTCTCCCTTCCATCTTTCTTCAGTCTCAATGTAAGGCTCCAAAGCTTTGGAATACACAACTCAGGAGCTCTATGTTTAGTAATGGTTTCATCTGAGTTAATTATGAAAACTTGGGCCTGCCACTCAAATCTTTCTGTGCTATACTTTGCTTTAATTCTGTCTAGGATTTTCCACTCTGAACATACCTTCAGATTTCCATAAATAACTTTAAGCTAAAATTTTTTATCTGTCTTTGTCAAGGACAGCCTTATCAGTGGTCTGAGCCACCTTAGTCTCTTACTCTATGGTGCATAATAGTCTTACTATACAACAGAAGGTAAACGGTCCAAATTTATTTATTTTAAATATATTCAAGATCTTTCCTGTTAAAATGAAGAAAAAAAATCACCAATTCTAAATACTATAAATTTCTTAGTATATGTGTGTGTGTGTGTGTGAGTGCCGATTTATGTGGGCAATGAATGACGTAAAATGATCTCTTATATCACTCATGTGATTTTTGTAGGAAAGACATGTGGGGAAAAAGACGTCATGTCTGTATTGGGTATGACTGAAATATAACCATACAAATAAATTGTTGTGGGAAGAGTTAGAGGGAGGAAAGAAAGGAGTGGAAGAGAGAGAGGGAGAAGGAGAGAGAGAATATGAATGAATGATGTATATGAGCATATAGGCATACATTAAGAGATCAGATGAGAACAACCTAGGGTGCCAGTCCCTGCCCTTTACATTGTCTGAGGGAGGGGCCCTGCTTGCTGCTGGGCACACCAGGCTGTCTTCTGTCTTCACTCCCATCTTTTCTTCGGGTCACTGTGATTACAGGTGTACACCACCGTACCTGGCTTTACTTGGATTCTAGGAATCTGAGCACTTGCTCTCACTGCCCACCAAATAACTTTTCAGTTGATTGTGTTCTGCTTTGTTTTCAATGCAAAGTCTGTTGTGTGCTATTTGTCTCCTTCAAATGACTAAAGGAACAATAAAGTTTAACTGAGTGAGTGCATGGATTTGTCATTTTTCTAGGCCAGAATAGTGGCATAAGAATGTCATTGAACACTTGCAGGTCAGCTTGCCTCTGGGCTATCGTGAGTGTGGACATGTGCATGTGTGCTCTGTACATGAGTATTGCTGGCATCCCTCTGAACCTCTGTAGAGCATCAGGGATGTGAAGCACCTGGCCTGGAACTGAATCAAACAGGACTTACATCAATATCACAAACTTAGTAAAAGGAGTTCAAAGGGTACTAAAAACTTCTAGGGTGTTATCTGGAGGTAAAATTACTTAACTTTAAATATAGTTGGTTCACTTTTCCCAGGTTTCATAGCACAAGGTTTAAGAACGACAGCACCCAGAACAAGTTCCCAGAGAAAATTTTGTTTTCCTCATCAGTTACCTCTCTAATATACTAGTTAAGAAAATGATAGTATACTTAGGACAGTATTTTTCTGCAGAACAAATAAGACATTCAATGCTCTTAGTCATTCTTTGTCATGTGTCAGAGCACTAATTGTTGTTAACAATTAGTGACATTCTATGAGTACTGTTGACATATGTGGATGGTCTTAATACTTTGACATCCTTCAGAAGTATGGTGCTCTCTGCTGCTGTGTCTTTATGAAATACTGCTATTAACTAAGTCATTTTCTGAATACATTTTCCATTGCCAGGAGAGCAAAGAGTTTCTATGTTGGCTGCAGCAGGATTTCTTTTCTTTTTTCTATTCTTTTCTTTCTTCTTTCGTTGTTTTCTTCCTTCTTTCCTTCCTTTCTATGTATATTTCTTTCTTTCTTTCTTTCTTTCTTTCTTTCTTTCTTTCTTTCTTTCTTTCTTTCTTTCCTTTTCTTCATTTTTACATCTTAAATTGTAAGGAGAGGCTTGTTACACACACACACACACACACACACACACACACACACAAGAACTTTGGGGATCAGCCATGAGCTACTTCATGAGGAGTCCATTACTATTTCCCTGTGCCTGGTTTTTATATCAGGTGGGACACAGATTAACACATGGCTCTCATATCTCAAAGCCTCTTAAACTAATTTTAATTAAAAACACACACATAATGCAAACATGGAGGCACCTACAGGCATATTTCCATATACTCAAACAAATACACCACATTCATTGATCTGAGTCCTGATTTAACCATATATTAACATTAATATTTCTTGTTTCCTAGTCAACACTAATTCTGATGTGTTCTTTGGTTGCAATTGGCTAATGGCTTCTCTATTCAAGATTGCAAAGTTACAGACAAAGACTCTTTGTCACAACAGAAAGTGATATTGGATAGCACTACCTTATTTCCTTCCCAATTCCTGTCAGACATCTCATTCTCCATGTCACTTCCTGTGCTCTTTTTGGCAGCTTAATAGGACTTCCTGAAAACCCATCCTACATCTAAGATGTGTTCCTTTGTAAAGGGACAGCCTCCATCAGACAGGAGCAGCAAATACAATACTTACTATCAGCAGTCCCGTGAATTATTAATATATTTTCTTCTTTTAGACCATGAATGTTATGCAGTACACTGGATGCCTGTAAGAAAAACACACATATCTGCCTATGTAGAGACATCTAAATGGAAGGAATTAAACATAGTCTTTATAACAAAAAAATGCCCTTTGCCTTTTGTTGTTAATTTTGTATTAGTTACCTGGTAAGCGCTTTCTTCCTTTGATGGCATACCAAGGTACCGCTCAGAGAAAGCTGAGGCTGTCACACAAGGAAAAAAGATAAAACCAACATCAGAATAAGCAAAACATAATATGTTTCATTATTTATTTATGCATTTCAAATGTAATTGTCACGCTCCAATAAAATCAATTACATCAGGGAGGTGATAACTCACAACACTCTTTAATAACACATGATAAATGAGCTCAATTGAGTTTCTCAGCACTGGGACTTTCGTTCCCACCAATCAATACTTTATATTAGATCTGTCTGTAGAACATACTCACCATACAACTTCATGTCTGAGATGGGTGCAACCACTGTTCCACATTTGAAAAGCTTTTCATCTGATTTTAAGATCATTGATGCAATATAGCCCCCATACCCCTGAGCAAAGGAAAAATCATAGTAATGATTCCTAGTAATATTTGTACAGTTAGATCACTGCTTAATAATACACACATCCTAATACCTTAAAGTATAAGAAGGAATACAAAAAAAGTCACAGTGTACTTATGAAAATTTAAGAGCTGTTTAAAATTTTATACAACAGGTCATTTAATAACTAAGTAAAATATAAAATTAATTATGTATCACAAAAGTCATAATTTTATACCACATATGTGGGAAATGCTCCAAGTAATTTGAAACAAAGGAAATAAAATACTCTTTATATATCATTTTAAGGCAAGTTGGTGTGTATTTTAGTAGAATACCTAATAATGATGATGGATACGTACAATTAGGAAAATAAAGTAAACCACTTAAGATATAGACAGCAACTTTACATTCCAACTTCTTTGCAGGGCTTGGGACTGTCACTCCAAAGCGTGACTCTAGAAAACCAAAATCTGCTGCATTGGGCACATAAGCCTCTTTGACATAAGGATAAGTTAGATGCAATTTTGAGAAATCACAGAGTAAGGCCACACTGATTGCTTATATAGCAAAGTGTTTTATGTGCAAGCATAAGATCCCAAGTTTGATCTTTTATAACTTAAGTTTAGGAATCCTCAAAGCTGAGTATAGTGGTGCACATTTAGATTCCTAGAGTTTGGAAGGTGAAGACCTGGGGCTGGCTAGCCAATGAGCTTAGCTTGCTTGGCGAGTTCTAGGATAGTGATATCTTGTCTCAATAATCAAGGTGGATAGTGTCCAAGGCATAACAACTTCGATTGTCTTCTGATTTCTCCACGCATGTACACATGTGCAAACATACGCACCTCTCCACACTTAACACAAAGAAGAAAAGAAAAAAAAATCTGCCAGTCATAGGACAGACAGGATTTGTCTGGTTGTCAGAGATCTGTATCTATAGGGAAATCTCTTGATAAGCATATCTCCTCTCTGTACCAGGAAGACGAGATGCCTACATTCCTAAACTCTCATCAGTGGGAAAGGCACCAAGTAAGTAGAAGAACAGAATGGGGAGAGAAAAACAGAGAAGGAGGAGAACAAAAGACACAGATAAAGATGAGAGAGTAAGGGTAAGGAAGAGGGGATGCGGGAGAGGGAGAACATGAAGAAGAACTGGAATGGGAGGAGATAGGGGTGGTGAAATTACCCAGCTCAAATTTATTTTTAAAAGCAATCAAACTGCTCACGTGGGTGCGGGAATGGGACGGGAACGGTACTGAGGTAGGTCAAGAGAATAAGTAGAATAGGAGCAAAATCTTGAAAAGTGTGCACAACATGAGAACTCAAAGTGTACTCATGTTTGACTCCTGACAAAAGAGCAGATTTTAGCTGTTCTTTCCACAAAAGCAAAGCCAACGAGGAGGAAGTGCATAATGATGTCAACTCTCACTGCTACACTGCAGGAATCATTCTGTTACATAGATGTGTGACACGATGTCATGGTATATAAGCCTTAACTATACATGATACTATCATTCAAGGGAAAATACTTAGCAAAAATTTTATAGTAAACAGTGTAATTCAGTATATTGGGAATTTTTTTTTTTTTTAACACAAGTATCTCTCTAGCCCAAGCTAGCCTCCAACTCATGATTCTCCTGCCTCAGATTCCTGAGAGGTAGGATTCAGGTATATTAAGATCGTTAAACAAATGTTAAGGGGATGTCTGAGATGCTTTTGAATATTTAAGCTTTTATTATATTTTAATTTTGCTGTGCTTTCGCACACACTACACCTGTCAGCATGCTGGGTCAATCATGTGGAAGTCAGGATGACTTTTGGAGTCAGTTATTTCCTCCCACAGTCACAGGAATTAACCTCAGGTCATAGGGCTTGCAGGAAATCCCATTGAGCCATCTTGCCAGCTGCTAACAGCTAGCATTTTAAATTGTAGGTTCTCAACATATACTAATACAAAAACAAAAACAAAAACAAACAAACAAAAATGCCTCAAAGAAATGTCTTCCTGTACCCCTAGACTCATGGACTAAGACAAGAAAGAAAAAGTCATCTTCAGCAGAACACCCATTTGATGACAGCCTGGGCCTGGGAAGAAGCCCCAGCCAGGGTTTCCTGGCTCAGGTCAGGTGCACACATCCTTTGCTTCTTGCTTCATGGGAAGCTCTGTTTCACTATTTTTTTAATATGAAAATTTGGGACGTAATGAAGCTACATTGATCTTTAAAACTTAATGATAGTGAACGGTGTAGAATTTAAAAATCAAATCCAAAAGTCTGCTTTAATTTGATTTATTTCAGAGAAATAACTTCTGTTTTTAAAGGAAAAATCAACACTGTCAGGAATTGGAATAAATTGTTTTAATTGCTCAGTATCTTCTCAGTCATTTAATGTTTATTCACTGATGCAAAAGTTGAACCTGAAAGAGCTTTTGGGAAAACAGACTCTGGAAATAAGAGTAAGATTTAAGCTGTGGCAAGTTAGGGGAGCTGCTGGGTTGAATTATCAAAACAGTTTGCACTTTAGGCAAATTCTGAGTGTGAGGCTTCTCATATTGACCTGCAGCCAATTACAGACAGTTTGAATTTGATGAGGAGGAAAACACTCAGCAGTTAGTTCATGGTGCTCTGCTTTTACTGTGCCAGTGTTTGGTTTCCCACAATCAACATTCTTCCACTCACTGAAATTTAATTTTTGTAATTTCCACTTGTCAATCATTCTAGCATTATGCACAAAATGTCAATTGAGTTTTAAATTATTTTAAAATTTTATTGACACCAAAATGTTTCCTCAGAATTTTTTCTAATTCATAAAGGTGATATAAAATCCAAGTTCAATTGACAGAAGCATTTGGAAGGGCAGAGAGTAGGACCTAAAATGTCCAAGACTTGTGCTTTCATGGAATTGAAAGACATTGTAACTATACTTATGTAAATGGGGGAAATTCCAAGAAAACTCAAAAAAAAAAAAAAGACTTCTGTAGAGGAATTTTAATCCAGCAACATGGCTTCTCTGGCAAGGGATAATATCCAAGGACCTTCTAGGTCTATATGATCAAAGTGTAATGCAGACATGCCCCTAGCACACAACTTTCATCCCGAAGGAAGCAGCCATGTTTAGAAGTGACATCTATTTGAGGGGCAGATAAAATTATGAAACTGAGCAAGGTTTAAGAGAATGAGTTGAGGTAGGATAAACCCAACTCTCATGAGAACAGAAAAGAGAAGCTACTTAAGAGAGCACTCTGTGAAGGAAGAGGGTTTGTCTACTGAGATTTTTATTGGGCGAGTTTTACAGAGAGAACATAGACACAGGTGAAGACACAGCAACCTAGGAAATGAGGAGACCGAAGATTAGAAGACATTGCCAGAATTACTTCGAGGCCAGGCAACGCAATTCAGTGGGAAGTGAGGAGAAGCCAGTTTGAGTCAGTCAGCCTGGAGAGGAGTTTGGGACAGAACCAGGCAGCGAAAGTTCAGAAAGAACTAGAAAGGCTTGGGAATGGTTCTCACCTCATCCTCTAGTCCAAGGAAATAAAAACACTTACAGTCTTCTATAAGCCTAAATCTACATATTTTAAAATTTTGCATAATATTACTTATAGCACAGAATGAATATAAAAATATGATCCTAAAATAGCACATAAAGAAGGAAGGGAAAACTCTATGTGAGAGAGATGGAGGAAGCCTTAGAGGCAAGTAGTAAAGATGAATATTGATACAACTATGGTTAGGGTTGGGGAAATAGATTCCCTTTCTTCACTGATTTACAAAATAAAAAGGCACCACTCAGCCAATTTTTATTTTAAGCAGAACTACAGAGAGAGAGAGAGACAGAGACAAATAGAGACACACAGAGAGAGAGACAGAGGCAGTCAGAGACACACACAGAAAGAGAGATGGGGGGGCTCTTCAAAGACAGACTGCAGCAGTGGGAGCAGGTGACCCAAAACCTAGAATTAAAGATTGTCTGGAAAAGCCAGAAGAGTTCCATGCATGGCAGTGAGATGGGTTCCTTTTCTCCCTCAGAAAGGGCTGGTTTTAGCTATTCTGGAAGATTAGATAATCCAGACAAAGAAATGAAAGCAGATTCTCTCACAAGAGTGACAGCCCACTGCTGACCCTAGAAGTTTGAAAGTTGCTCTGAATGCTTCTCCTGGAATCAGGCATCCAGTCTTTTGTTTTGGAGAGACAGAAAGACGAATCATGAAGTCAGCCATTTTAGATATTTAAGTTAAAGGATATTGATACACCTAAACCCTCTTCGTCCTGTCTCTCTCCCTGCCTGGGATCTGTCTGACTCCAGGTCCTCAATATGATCAAATTATTACATGTATGCTTTCAACTCTCAAATGATAAGTGAAAATACATTTTAAAAATTCATATTTCACCACTAATACAATTTTATCAACATGTATTTCTCTGCATTGAATCTGTTACTTTGATATAATTCCTTGTTATCTTCATGTTACATGTGTATATGTGTATTTTTTTTGTGTGTGTGTGTTAGTACAGTTGCTCTTTCGCCCTGTTACATGTGCAGAGATTGGAGAACAATATTTGGTATTGGCCATGATTTTCCAATTCTTGGTCACTACTGAATAAGCCAGGCTAGCTCTCCTGTAACACGTTAGGGATTTCCCTGTCTCTACTTGCAGTCTCAGTGTAGGAGCAATACGGTTACAGATGTGGGATTCGCATCCAGTTTTAAATCAGTTGTAGGGATTTGAACTCACATTCTCACTCTTATGTGGCATAATCTTTGCTCCCTGAGCCATCTCCCAATTCTGATTGTATACGTTATTTTCACAAACCCCAGAAATGGCTTGAGCTGGCTTCAAACTTAAATAAATCCTTTTGCAATTAACCAGATGCAAAAGAGAAAATACTGGTTTCCTCTCTGTAGGTCAAGTTGAATGCACCTTATAGTCACTCTTATGTAACCATGAGACCATTGCAGAGAAACCACACTCCCTGATTCTTACTCTTGCTGGTCTCCTGCCAGCAAGGTCT